TGCCAGTGCCCCTCACTCCTGACCCACACTCCCCTACTCCCGCCAGCCCTGTAGCATCTCCCAGCTGCCCCATTCCTGCGAGCACAGTCACCCACCCCAGGGCCATTGGCCTGGCCACACAGCTCCCTGATGGCCCCAAGGGGCCTTCCCGGTCCCACCCCCTCCCTGCCACCTTCTTGTGCTGGAGGGGCAAGCATGCCTCCCCCAACGCCTCCTTCGCCCTGCTGCAGCCCCAGCACCTGGACAGCTTCCCCAGTGCTGGCACCCATCGGTTCCCCCTCACACACCCATTTCTTCCACACACACAGATAGTCCCCAAGCCCTGGCCCTCCAGCCTCTGCCCCCCACAGACCTATCTGCATCCAGCTGCCGGGGCTGCTCGCAGCACCCTGCCCGGCTGCATGCCGGCCAGGTGCATAGTGCTTGACAGAGTCCAGAGGAGACCCACTCATATGATCCAAGGCCTGGAGGGAAGGCTGAGGGACTTGGGACTCTTCAGTGTGGAGAAGAGAAGGCTCAGGGGGGACTTGGTGGCAGCCTACAACTTCATAAGAGGGGTACATCAGGACCTGGGAGAACAGCTGGTCCCTAGAGCCCCCCAAGGGATAACAAGGTCTAATGGCCATAAACTCCAGGAAGGCCGATTTAGACTGGATACACGAAAAAATTCTTTATGGTGCGTGTCCAGGGTCTGGGACAAACTCCCCCCAGAGATGGTGCAAGCACCTACTCTGTTCTCCTTCAAAAAACAGCTGGATTTATTTCTTGCTGGGGTCACTTGATCCCAGCTGACTTCCTGCCTATGGCAGGGGGGCCAGACCCACTGATCTCATGAAATCCCTTCCAGCCCCTAATGCCTATGAAATCTATGAATATGCACCCTGCCTTCAGTTGCCCTCCGCCCACTCCCCCAGCCCCAAGCAGCTCCTTGCTAGGGCTAGCCGTGAAGTGATGGGAAAAACTTCAATGATGAACAGATCAAAATCTCAGACATTTGTTGATATTTTTAAAAAGCGCCTGGACTGAGGTGCAAGGACCCCAAAAAGAGGACGTGTTTGGGGAAACCTGGACGTACGGTAACCGTATGCAAACCTCTTTGCTGAACTACAAACCATGCGTGTCGCACATTAAATTGTGCGCAGTGTTGCTAATTTGCAGCATGGGGGATTTTCCGGTAGCAAACCCCCAAAACCCTGAAAAGAAGCGGGGCAACGCATGCCAAAATGGCGTGCGCAAGGATAGACATCTCCGTGCACTGCGAAGCCCTGTTCTAACGCACCCCGCGCCCCAGCCAGCAACACACAACTACACCCCTCTCCCGCGCCCGGCAGATAGCCGCGCCCAGTCCCCGCCCCGCCCCGCCGCCAAGGCAACGAGGGGGTGGGGGGCTGACCCAGCCCTCCCAGACCCGAGCCCTGGCGCATGCGCCTGGCGGGTCGGTCCGCCGCAAGATGGCGCCCGCGGGCCGGCGGTGGGGGGCGGGGCGTCGTGCGCCGTGACGCAGGCGTTGTGACAGCGTGCGCGGCAGCTGCGGGATGGCAGGGCTGGAGCGCAGCGCTGGGTTGCTGCGGGCGGCGCGGCGGGGGCTGCCCTGGCTGCTGCTCCTGCTGCTGCTGCTCGGCTCTGCCGCCCGCGCGCTGGGGCTGCCGCCGCCTTCCTACCTCAGCCTCAAGCGCAACCTGCTCAACGTGTGAGGCGCGGCGGGGCCTGTTCCCTGGGGGTGGGGTCTGTCATACCCCTGCCCGCGGGGTGCCCGGGTGGCACAGAGGGGCGAGGCGGTGCCCGAGACGCGGTCTGCACCGCAGCCGTGCGGGCATGAGCAGGGCATGGCGGCGTTTCTCGGGGCCGGAGGAAAGGTCCTTGCAGCGATGGGGGCGCGCGAGGGAGCACTTTTGCTGTAGCGAAGGGAATGGGTAGGAAAGGCCGAGCCCAGGAGGCGCACTGCAGGGCTGTGGGAGGCTCGACACAGGGCCCACGTTAAAGGCGAGACGCAGGCAGGAGGGCGGCAGGGTTCACAGCAATGGGGAATAGGGGCAGGACTTGGTGTGAAGGGCTCTTGGGCATCCTGAGTGTGAGCTGACAGATGGGTGTCTGCCCATGGTGGCTCTCTGAATGAAGTCATAGATTTCATAGATTTTTAGGGTTGGAAAAGATCTCAGTAGATCATTGAGTCTGACCCCCTGCCCTGGGCAGGGAAGAGCACTGGGGTCAGATGAAGTCGTTAAAATCCTCTCCCGTTCATGCTTGCCCCCAGTCAGCCTGAAAGTTTAATCCATTTATATGAGTTCCTCTTGGCTTTGTTCTGGCAGCTACTTTGTGAAACTCGCCTGGGCCTGGACATTTGGGCTGTTGCTTCCCTTCATCGGAGTCACCAACTATTGCCTCACCCGGAACATGCAGGATGTGCTGCGGCGCCTCAGTACCCTGCTGGTGGGTACTGCTGTCTGGTATGTCTGCACACAGTTCTTCATGTACATTGAGAATTTCACTGGCAGCTGCTACAAGTCCTCAGCACTAGATGTGCTGTATCAGGAGCACCAGAACAAGCATCGTTGCCACCAGGCCGGTGGCTTCTGGCATGGCTTCGACATCTCGGGCCATTCCTTCCTCCTAACATACTGTGCCCTAATGATTGTGGAGGAGATGGCTGTGCTGGAAGTCCTGAACACAGACTGGAGCTCTAGATTGCATGGTGTGGTCAATGCCCTCTTCGTTGCCTTGAGCTTTCTGGTCACTATTTGGGTCTTGATGTTTTTGAGCACTGCTGTATATTTCCATGACTTCTCCCACAAACTGTTTGGCACTCTAGTGGGCCTGTCGGCTTGGTATGGGACATACAGATTCTGGTACTTGAAACCTTTCTCTCCTGGGCTCCCTCCCCAGAATACTTGCTTGAGTTCAAAGAAGTCGAGTTATAGCAGATAAAAAAAAAATTCTGTTTCCTATTTTGTTTTAAATACAGGATTGGCTATGATTTTTTTTTAATAGGAAGGAACGTATTAAGGGGAGGGAAATTAAAAAAACATATCTTAGTTTGATGGTCCCCAGATTGTTACAGTCCAGTTCCTGGTGTCACAGACTGCCACCCAGGAATAGGATTAACTGACCAGGTAATTGGTGATCTTGGCAAAGCAGTCAGCCACAGATTGCCCTTCTTCAGTGTTCCACCAGGATAATCAAGTGTATTGGCAAGATGTGGTGGGGGGAAGCTTACGTGGCTGCTACCTTTGCTGTACCTGTTCTGTGGAGAAACAGAGGGAAAATTAAAGATTGACAGGCAGCTCCTTTTCCCTCCCTCCCTCCCTCCCTCCATTTTTTTTTTTTTTTTAAGACAGAAGATTTTAACAAGGTCCAAATCTCAAGCTAACTTTAATTGCTGACTTTTTTTTTTAACTCTTCACTTGTAATCTTTCCAGTTGTGCCAGAGGCAGTGCAAAGCTGCTAACTATTGCAACAAACGTGTAGTTGGCAAGAATACTTTAACAAGGAGAATGCAGCTTCATTGCAAAACTGCAGCACCTGTGTTCTCAAGTGTTACAATCTTTACAATCTCCATAAATTCTTACCAGCCCTTGCTGCTAGAGAGTAATTTTTGTTTTTGTGGCCCGATGTCTTACACTAGATCTCAAATGTAAATTTTCTGTTTCCTGCCAACCTTTTAAAATGAAGGGCCCAAAATGAGTTTTATCTCATTAGATAGCTTATTCTGTCCTTAAATAATGGTGGCTTTTTTGCTCTTTATTCATGACACTAATTTAAAAAACTGAAAAGCCATAATGAGAGAGCTCCTTCAGGTACTGTTAATGTCTTAAATTACTTCATTTCTTGTACAAAAGTTTGGGGGCAATTTTATACATTTATTACATGTTCACCTTCTGTACTTGCAACTGAAATACTGTTTTATGTGTTCTTTTTGGAAGTGCAATGAAATTCTGAAGGTCAGGTAACAAGCATGTTAACTGATTTTGCACTGATTTGAATTAGTATTTTATTGTTCTTGAGAATTATATAGAGCACAGGATTGTTTTTTTTTTCCCAAGGTTATTATAGCAATATGCATACAGACATTTATTCATGTCCTATCAGTATCAGTAAGCTGTTTCATTTTGAATGCATGTTAAATGTTGTCTGTTGCTTATGTGGCAAAAACTGTGGCTAGTAAAACCCAATTACATTATAGAAAGCGCAGATATACATTGAGTTGGACACTAAGGGTATTTTTAACCAGTACTTTTAATTGTTTTATGAAAGGCTTGTGTAAGGAACAAACAAATCAAAATCAATTTTTCATCTGTAATAGCATGTCCAACATGCTACCGAACAGTGCTTGTTTCAGCTAAAATTTAGATATTTGTGGTAGTATGATGATGAACCTAAATTTTCTTCAAACCTCAATTCTGAGTGAATTGTTTTGCTGCCTTTTAGAACAAGGTGATCCATAACCTAATCTGGGTATATATCATATTGCCATTTCAATTTCCTGGCCAGAGAGAGGGGCAGGTCCACAAACACTTAAAAACTTAATATCTCATTTGGGACCTGTTCCTGTGAATTGCTGAATTCCTATTGATTTCATTAGTAACTAAAAGTACTCCGCTACTCCAAGAAGGTACAGACTTGAGAATCAGGCTGTCTCATGAGATCCCTGTAAATAGGTGTAAAATACAGATTTGTATTTTGACTTTATTTTGGCTGCTGACAGACGTGAAAAAACCCAGAACAGTGCTTTACCAGAAGAGGAATTGTATCAGTTTGACCCAGCTCGCCCAGTGACTGTATCGATCACACGCTTCATCAGGACTTTTTGGCATTTTTATCTAATAGCTGATTGAATCGGCTATTAGATAAAAGCCCCAAAAAGCCCTGCTGAAGCTCATGATCTATACAGACATTGGGCAAGCCGGGTCAAACTGATGCTGTGCCTCTTCTGGGCATGCTTGGCATGGGGGTGTGCGGAGCTGAAAGTGAAGTGCTGTTTTATTTAGTTTTTTTTTCATGTCTGTAAACAGCCTTTGTTTTGGTGTCAGATCACCATTACGTTTATACCGCTGTGCCTGGGGATTGTCTTCATGGGAAGGCTATGCCAGTTAAAATTATGCTGGGGTTTAAACTGATATAGTGAAATTAGTTCAGATCTAATTTAAGGTGAACACTGGTATTTTGGTGTAATTTTAAACCTGCTCTCATTAGATTTCAGCTAAACTGAATGAGTTGCTCTGTATGGAAATGATGCTTTACATCAGATTTACTAAATCAGGTTTAGATTCCCATCCTAGGTTATTCCTGGCAACTTTCCTGTCTAGGCAAGTTCTAAGAGGAACCCCAGTAGCTTTAAGAACTATATGCTAAGTGCCTTTGAAAGCTTAATTGTATGCCCTGGAAATGCATGGTTGATGTAGTCTGTTTACAGACACTTCTAACCACCTATACAGTGTGTCATAACGGTACATTATTGTGAGTAATATGGTGAGGGATAGGTGTGCTTAATACTTTACTGGAACCTCAACAGTAGTATTTTTCTCAAGAGTAACTGATCAAAATCACCAAGGGAATTTGCCAGGGAGTCTGAGCAAAGTTCCATTTCTGGAGTCTGTAAAGATAATGGTCTGATTCTACTGCTTATGTTCATGAGTAATCAAGGGGCTCCTGGTGTGGATAAGGACTACTGAGGTGTGTACGCATTGCAGGGTCAGACCCTCTTTGTCCCTCAGGATTGCCATGGTGCAACATAGCATGTTTTCAAAAGCATCTGGTATAAAAATGTACGAGCACAGCAAGCCTTGTAGTGTGTACCCATTATATGGGCAGATTTGCAGCACGCATACCTTATGCACCCATGATTAAAATCCAGTTCCATTAAAATCAGTGGTAAAACTGTTAAACTTAATGGGTTTCGGACCTCACTCCTTATGTATTTGGAAGTCTAGGTGTTATATAGAAGCCACCCAATTAACGGATGGCTCAGACACTGGAACTTTTTAATTTGCACGTCAGGCAAAAGACCTTAAACTCAGTGTTGTTCTAATAGCTGTCTATAGAAGTCAGAGGTTGGGCAATCTTCTGTCTATGCATTTAGCATAATTTTTGTTCTTTTTCATTTCTTCTGTGGAGAGCAATGAATGCATATTGCAGGGGAAAAATCCAGTCCGTCCACTTTTGGGATAAGTTTGCATGAAACACAAACCTGTCCTCTAAGTAGATGGATTTGATGTGGATTTTTGCCAAAATGGACAGATCATTTCCAGCACTTGTCAGACATGAACTTTGAGTTTTAAGATAACAAAAGACTAAAAGTGTTTTACAGGACAAAATCTTGTAGTAGATGCTTATAGGAAGCAACTTGTAATCATGAAACTGTAGCTCATAATATCCTCATTTTCTTCTCTTCATTAAAAGTCACTACAGTTCCTGTCTCTTGCCTCCATATAGAGTTGTTTGTCCTATGTCTCTGGAATTATTTAAGGAATTTTGCATTTCCTCTTTCTATTGCTATCCCCAAAAAGCATAAATAATCAAAGTATCATTTTGTTTAATTACATGGCTTTTTGTTATTCATCAGTTATCATCTATATATAAGAATGCCTCTCCAAGTAAGCGTTTGAGTGGGATTTCTGACACTTCGAGTCCAAAAACTATTCAGTTGGCCAAGAAATGGTTAAGGAATAGAAGCACAAGAGGTATACCAGACCAAGAAATTGAAAATGATTTGGGATGAATTTCACTAATATCTTCATTACATATAATGTTTTATAAATTACATTGCTTTCTCACTAGGAGGGTGTTTAAGAACTACAACAGATAACCTAGAGATGTGTGATACCTTCATCACTGGAAGTTTCTAACTGTGTTAGACAAACGTTTGTCTCGGATGTTTTCAACTAGGAAGATTTTGCCCTAAGCAGGGGGTTGGACCAGGTGACCTCAGGTCCCTTTCAAGTCTGTTTTTCTATGATCGTAAAAGGTGAGAACAGATCTGTGCCATGTGGTGGACAGCATTTGGGTGAAAGTGAAAGCTCAGGTATGAAACAAAACTCAGGTAGGGTCTGGAGAGAACAACATACTAGAAAATTGCAGGTGATACAGTAACATAACTAGGGGTGGGCAACCAAAGTACGAGCCCTGGAGCAGCAATTTTTAAGGCATAAGAATGGCAATGACTGCCACCATTGCTGCCCAGGGTCTAGACTTGCTTGTTATGTGTCAGGTAATGTGAGGATGTTTATGATGGACCTGACAGACTATGGGCCCCCAGTGAGCCAAAACTTCAGGCACATCAGATGTAGTTTGAGGGATAGCTGTGGTGACAGACAACGACCTCTAAAAGGAGTGAGACTTGCCTCCCTTCTTTGGTGTCAGACTGAGCCATTCACCAGCCTCATCCTACAAAGAGGGGAGACTCCACCACTGTTGCCTGTGGTCTTGTAGCCCTTTGACTGTGTTAATTAAAATGCAGCTGCCCATTTTTAGAGGTTGCTTTGCCCACATCTAACTAGCCTTTTGAGCCACACTCAAGGTCCTTCCTCCATGTTTTAACGGTCTCTAATTATAGAGCCCAGAAACAAGCACCTGTTGTTTCTCTGGGTTTGAAATGTATTAGTACTTTATTTGCTGCTTGTGTTTATAGTTAGTGGCTCTTCAAAGTCTCCTGCATTCCAGCCAGCACTTCCCCAGCAGCCTATGGTCACAGCTGGTTCTTGCGGGTTGTATATTTGGAGCAGAGTAGGACACAGTTTTTTACCAAATAAAATTGATTGCATTTTATTTTAAAGGTTAGAGAGATTTAAAATGTCCAATAAAGTAAGTTTTTTGGTGCAAGAGTCTTTGCTGCTGATGATTTTGTAAAGGTGACTAGGCAGATTTCAAATTGAAATATTTGTAGAACTTGATCTGTTTGTCTGCCGTACAATGGTTGCCTTTTATTGCAACAAGCAAAATGAGTGGCCTGGCGTTGAAGGCATTAGTGTGAGTGGCAGCACACATGAATTCCATTATTCAGCACAGTTTCCCATCAGATCTTAGGCAAAGCAGTAAGGGCAGCAATTCCCAGTCTCTGGACTGGGACCTCACCTCCTGTCATTTTGTGATCCAGCTTCTATTCCAAGGTCATCCACAGTAAATGAATTTCTGTAGGGCTCATGACCCTGAATGGAAATGCTGAGACCCTGTTTGTGTACCACGTATAAAAGGATGGAGCAAAAGCTTCAGGGAGTAAACCTGCACTAGCCGAAGGACTGGGCAGCAGGGAACAGACTGGCTACTTATGGTAAAGAGACTTCTCTTTCTTGCTCTTTTTCTTCTCACACTTGCAACTATGAGCATTTCTTGAAGGTTTCTTTAGGCCCTTATTTTTAGTGCGCTGCCTTTTTCAATCTGGCCTACATGCCCTGACAAATAGTAATTGGGAGGGAGGTATAGTTGGGATACATCCATGTTGCAATCAAAAGATCTGACTGCAGCTAATGAAACATCCCAGCTAGCACTTTAAACCAACTCACTCAGATACTGTAAAAGTGCAGCTGTTATAATTACCTGAGTATTTACATAGGTTTTCAGGTCAGCCTGTATTGAACACCATATTGCCCCAGCTACTCTGCTAGCGGTATCTGAACTAGGCAGTTAAAGCTAGCTTGGGGAGGTGAAAATTAGGTCTGTGCAAGTAGGTAGCTATTTGATCCGGCTTCGGATCCAGCTGCTTCAGATGCCAGCAATCCAATACGGAGCTCTGGACCAGGTTCCTGCTTCGATCCAGCCAAAGCAGCTCTGAAGCTTCAGAGCCACCTTGGAGATCTGGCCATAGGGTATAATGGGGAATAAATGAAATATCTATAACTTTGTTGTTTTTTTGTCTGATTTGGATTAAACTTGCAGGGATGGTAGCCTCTGGTGAGAGCATGGATCCTGCCAGGTTTCAAGAAGATCGGTGCAGGGGTTCAGGGGAAACTGCACCCCAAATTCCTGAAAGCAAAACTCATGTCATGTATGTGTTACACCACAAGGGGGTGAAAACTGCAGGGGTGGTGGCAGGCTTCATGGCCTCAGCAAGGGCCAAGTTTCAAGGAGATAGGTGCAGGTTCTGAAGCATGGTGGAAAGCCTTGCACAGCTCTAGTGAACGTGAGCTGTAGTTGCATCTTTTACTGCTGTGAAGATGTACCCTTACGTTTTAGGGTCTGGAACTGTCTTGGAT